CGGCAGCACTGATTGGCTGCTCCCCTCCCCTCTGCCAGTGGCGCGTGACCCCTTCAACTGAAACTCGGCAGCCCCAGCACCAGGCAGCGAACAGGTTGATCCTGCAGCGAGCGCGCGGAGGGGGCCGAGAACCAGTTTCGAGTGAGGATGGACTCAGCTCTGAGAGTCTAGTGCAAACAAAGGGCGGGCTGGGGGCGTGCCCGAGAACCTCCCAGCCGCGGGCGAGTCGCTCCCCGCCCTTCAGTGGTGCCAGCACACACTCAACTCCCTCTCCCCCTCTGCTGCCCGGCACCGCTCCCCAGATCTGGAGGGAGGGGGGTCGCAGCTCCTCAGCCCAGCAACCCCCCTTGGAATTGTTTGCAAAGTGTCTCTTGGACTGTAGACATAACGCACGAATGGGGAAGAGGGGTTAGCGCCCGGAAAAAAGGCACCTTTAAAATGATGGATAGAAGTAGGCTGGTTCAAATTCGGGGAGAGCAAAGCCAGTGCCACCCTTTTAAAGCAGTAGTACTGGAAGTGGCTCGGGGCTGTTTCTATGCACCTCTCCCATTGCATGCACCTAAAGGAAATAGAAAGAATAGTGTCACAATATATTAACAGGCATTTTATAGATATAGCTAAAGATTGAATTTAAAGCAGAAGGGTTAGACAGGTACAACACCTATTCATGGAGCCACTAGTATAGACAGTACACTTTTTTAGCTTAATTGCTAAACACTGAGTAAGAAAGCTAAAAAAATAGCTACATAAACTTTGACTGTGGTCAAAGGTGTAAAAGGTTCACTTTCCTCAGCACTACCCTGTAGCTATGAGGGTCACACCCCCACTCCAAAGGCAGCGAGGTTGAGGAAAGATTTTTGCCACTGACTATTTGGGCATGTGAAGTTCCTAGACCAGTGATACTCAGACTGAGGCTCCCAAACCACAAGTGGCTCTTTATTTCACTTCTTGTAACTCTGCAGCACAAGATATTAAAACACTATGGTTAATAATTTTAATTTAAAAACCAGGAAACATTTACTATGCTTTTAACCAAATATAAATTTGCTCTGAGTTAACTAATCTGTTGTTTATTTATACTATATATAGTACTATAGTAAATACAAAAATGAATTCACACTACTGTGGCTCTTTTGGGTAATGAAGGTTTATAATTTGGCTCCTGAACCACTGAGGTCTGAATATCACTATCCTTAGAGCAACAGAAAGACCACTTTGGGTATTGGTTAAACTGCATAGCAGTTTTGCTATACCATCTTAGCACCCACACTGTAAACATGACTTAAGAGTGTCCATATACATAACTTTCCCCTGTAACCAAGGCTCAAACTAAAATACATTTTAATTGCAAGCAAAATAAAATTAAATGGAGACAGTGTTTCATCTTCCTTGGATGCTGTACTTACTTCCTGCAGGGAGAGTCCTGTACTTGAAGATTAATCAACTGTGGAGATGGACATTTAAGTGTCACATTGATATCCCTAGAACAGTGGTCTCCAACCTTTGTAAGCATGAGATCACTTTTTTAATTTAAGTGCAATCCAGGATCTACCCCAAACCAAAACATGCTTGCCCTGCCTCCTTCCCACCCCTTTTCCATGGCCCCACCCCTGCTCACTCCATCCTTTCACTCTCCCCCATCCCCACTCACTTTTATCAGACTGGGGGCAGAAGGCTGGGGTGCGGGATAGGGGAATACAGACTCTGACCTTGAGCTAAAAGATCTGGAGTGTGGGAGGGATTTTGAGCTGAGGTAGTTGAGCAGCAGGGGGGTTCAGGCTCTGGGAGGCAGGGGGACTATGGGCTAGGGTAGAGATTTGGGGTGCAGGAGAGGTTCAGAACTGGGGCTGGCGTTTGGATGTGGGCTCCAGCTGGGCACCGCTTACAACAGATGGCTCTTGGTGGTGATGCAGGGGACTAAGGCAGGCTTACCCCTGCTCCCAAAAGCAGCCAGCAAACTCTCTTCATCCCTGCCCTCCCCTCTCCCCCAACTATGTGGAGATGGGGTACAGAGTGGGGGGAAGGACACCCTAACTTCAGCACCCCGTCCTCTTCTTGTTCCCTGCACAGCAAGCAAGAAACTCCCAGGGGTGGGGCACAGCTCCAAAGCAGAGGGCAGGAGCAGCACGGTAGTGCTGAGAGGGGCAGATGAAGTGACAGCATTTGATAGCCTCCTCGCCACACCTGTCAGGATCACCTGTCAAAGGCTCCAAGATCTACCAGTAGATCCTGATCTACTGGTTGGTGACCACTGCCCCAGAACTAACTGATCCCAGAGGCAACTAAATGAGAAAGGCCCCTTGCTACTGTTACAAAAATTCATATAAAAAGGGAATGAAACAAAAGAAAGGACTATGCAGCATTTTAAAGACTAACAAGATGATTTATTAGGTGATGAGCTTTCATGGGCCAGACCCACTTCCTCAGATCAAATTCTGGAAGAGAATTGGCACGACCATATATACCAAAGGAATACAATGAAAAAAAAAGTGAACACATTATAAAACTGACAAATCAGATTTAGAACAGAAGGGGAGCGAGGTGGAGGACTAGTATCTATGAAATAATGATACTAGGGGTGATAAAAATCTATTCTAAATCTGATTTGTCAGTTTTTCTATCATAATAGCATAACCAAAGGAGGAATAAGTTTCCACACAGGATATGGGCAATATGCCTTACTTGTATTCACATACCTACAAAAATTGCCTCTTGGAACTAGAAAATAATCCGTTTCTATGTCCACTCAATGCACATTAGTAATGACATTAATTTTGAAGCCTAGTCTTATGAAGTGAATAGAATGTTTGGAGATTAGACAAATCTAATTGCTTGAATTAGTCAGGGGTTGATTTCTTTGCTCTGTAAAGTCACCCATCTTTATTATTTATTCCACATGTTTGTATGTTGATATAGCAACAGCAACTTGATCAAGGCATATCCTGGTAATTAATATTGCATAATCAGCATCATAGAGAAGAAAGATTAGACAAGTGTTTTCAGTGAACTTATATTCAAAGTAGACAAAACAGAAAACAAAATAGTACACTTGGCGATTAGAGGACAGATATCTCTGAATGGAATTTTTGTTCCTATATAGATAGCACTTCTAACATTAGGAGTGGATTACAAATAAACAGTATCTAGAAGTCGAGCCTTTTGTCTCTAGGATTTTAATTATACCCTATACAGCTGAAATTGCAAGTGGAATGTAGGTGGGCAGAATAGTTACTTAGATAACCTATCAGAATGTAAGTATCCAAACTGCTATGATTTCTTAGAAAATCATCACAAATTTATCAGTGATCAAAATAATTTTATGTTTTGTCTTAAGAACAGTATCTGCTATGGCATAATGTCCCTATCACAGGGCTGGGCAAAATACGGCCCAGGGAGCCGGATCTGGCCTGCCAAGCCACAGGCTGCAGCCCATAGACGGCCCTGACTGGACCCTCAGGCAGACACAGCTGCCGAGTTAAACACAGTCCCTGCATTTCTCTGCTCTGCAGGGAGGTGGAGGCTTCTGTGAGATCACCCCACTCCCAGCCCAATCCTCAGGTCCTATTGGCCAGAAAGAACCAGCCAATAAGAACTGACCTCAGCTAATCTCTCAGCTCCGATTGGCTGGAAACAATCAGTCAATCGGAGCTGAGAGATTGGCCTGAGAGACTGGGGCAGCCCGATATGAGAACCAGGTGGAGGGAGCAGCCTGTATTTTCAAACAGATTGGGGTGTAGGCCAAGAGGCACTTAGGTAAACTCCTCTCAGCTAGTGCCTACTTCTGGCACCCCCAACCCATCCTGCACCCCAACTTCCTCCCCCAGATCACCATCCAAACCCTCTGCTCTCTCTGTTCCAGGTGACAACTCCCTCCCAGACCCTGTACCTCCTCCTACACCTCTCCCCCAGGCCAGAATCCAATCCTGCACCCACACCCCCTCCTTGACCCTACACCCCAATCCCTTGACCCAGGTTACAACCCCCTCTTTCACCCAAACACCCGCTGAGCCCTCACACCGTCTCCTGAACCCCAGTCCCTTATCCTGTGCACCCTTCTGCACCCAACCTTCACCCTAGACCCTCCACAGAAAAGTGCAGACCTTGACCATTAACCAAAATCTTGGCGTGGCCCCTACCAAAAATTTTTATATTCCCTGATCTACGGACTATAAAACTAAGCGTTATTTAACAAGGACACACTCTAAAGTGAATTAAACAACAAAGACAGGAACTAAAAGTGGCCTCTCCTCTCACTGCAAGTAAACCTTAACATTGTAGTTGGTGAGCACACTGCCCTTTTGAAAAATCAGGCCAAAAATATGGATTTAGCAGCTTAGATTTAATTCCTGTTTTTGAAAATCTTGGCCCTCTGATACAATCAGAGGGATGATCCTACAAATGACAAGGAGTAGGCAGAGCCCTATTTGCTGCTGTGGGTGGCAGAAGAGTACATCCACATACTTTTACTTGCAGGATCAAGGCTTAAGTATACATTTTTACAAAGAGTTGCAAGAGCAGCATGTTTGATTTCCTTGATGTAACTTGATTTCTCACCTCTCTTTTCAGTAGTGTACCTTCTAGTTGTTCAGCCAAAAACTAAATAATCAGGCCTAATTTTATTCATAGATAAGAAATAGTTAT